TGTGGTTGATCGAGAGGAACATTTTGGTGTGTGGATTGATATTTTTCGAATAGTTTAGGTAGCTTTCAATTTTTATTGATTATTGGGGTGATTGATAATAAAGAGAAGGTGATGTTATTGATTGGGATTGCTGGTTATTGTCTGTCTAATAGTTTTAAACTTAGAAGCTAGAATTTATCATATTTAATGAGCTGCATCTTATAAATTGGAGAAGAAGTTGCATATCCAGATGAACTAAATGTAATAGAAAAGTAGGATGAATTGGACAAGTTTTGATAGTGACACAAGCTTGCCTAAAAATAACCGTTCATTAAAAACCATCAAGGATTGAGATTGAGACCCCCTCTCTTCTCTGCAACTTGCTGTTATGTATGGAAGTTCCAAACTTGCAGCAGACTTTGATTCATGCACTGTATATCTCCCTATAACTGTCATTTGTGTTTACTAATGTAAAACAAGTCGGGTTCGATGGGAATCAAACCCGCGACCTCAAAAGAGGCGATCTCTTTCCACTCGATCAGAGATCCCTGCCAATCAGCCACCTAGGTACTTATCTCACTTCGGCTATCCGTCATACACATATAACTAGTTCAACGCAAGCTCTATGCTCAGGCTTATCTACTACAGATGTGATCTTTGAGCCATATCCACATGCACAACCTCACAGATAGAGCTCGAAGTCGACTCAAGATTTTTATCGATTTTGTACGGCGGATTCGACTCTATTCAAAATTTCATCGACTTCGAGCTCTGCCAGAGATCGAAGTCGCTTAGATCAGATGCTTAACATCTGCTTACTAAGTCGTTTCCGAAAACTCAAAGTCTTTAAACCTCAATTAAAGACCAAAGTGTCAATTTGATTAATTCTTTAATTAACAACACAATAAATCCACAAACAAAATGCACTAAACTCGCCAATTCTAAGATTCTTTAAATATCAACAACTCTCCATATATTGTAGTAAATTCTTATCTCAACCTAATTAATCAGCAGCTTCACAGAACAACTTTTTTATCCTCTCCACAATAATCGCACTAGAGTCAAGCTTCTTCATTGAATATATAATGAATTTAAGAAAAAATTATAATTTGATAATTTATGAGCAGTTCCAACAAAAGCAAGTTTATTTCAAGTCTGCTGGATGAACAAGATAGATGAAATAGTGATGAAAGCGTTTGCCTTATTTTCCATCCACAAATGAGACTGTGTTGTGCTTCTTTTCTCTTTATCTTGTGATTGTTATCATTCAATGAAGTCTGAATCTGCTTGCTTCACCATCATCATAATCATCGTCATGTTGATATCAGATGTTGGATGGGAAAATTTTATTTTATTTTTTTCTTCCTGCTGTTGCTGGTTATTGGGGTTATTGAGAGTGGAGGGAATTGATGTCTGTGGATTTGTGATAAGATCTTGATGGTATATGGGTCATAGTGTTGGGTATGAAGTGAGTTTTGGATGTTGACTTTAAAAATTGGTGACACGGTGGCTTTAGGGACCTTCAAGGATTCGGAGGTTATACTTTCAACAGCCCAAAGAACTTAAGGTCCCTATTCAACGTTCACAGTCTTGTCTTGGGCCTCTATTAATTGTCATTTCGGCTAGGATTCGAACCTCGCACTACTCGATTTACAGTCTAGCAGTCAACTTATTACAACTGATCACCAATCTATTCATTCCACCAACATTCCACAAAGAAAACACGAATTAAGCCAAGAAGAATTCAACTCACATAAATAAATAATTAAGCAAAAGAAAAGAATTTTTTTTTTCATGGATATTAAGTAATTAATAAAGCAGAGCTTTTTAACATTTTCAGCTCATTCCATTCAATTTTTTGTTCATTCTGTGACAATAATAGTTTTTTAAATACCACATAAACATCACAGACTCACAGACGTATGCCTTTAATGATTGAAAAATAATAAAAAAGAATTGAAAAGAGGAATTAGGGAAATAACATAGGAGATTGCAATCAATAATTCAAGAATTTTTCTAATAAATAATGTGAGCATCGATGCTGTACGTTTTTAGGGCTGTTGAGACAATTTTTTGTGATTAATGAAGTTCTTTTAAATGATCGACAATACCAAAATTGATATGTGTGAAATGGTCATGAGATTTTTTTTACAATTTCTAAAAGTAAGGGTAAGGCAGTTGTAATGCACTGGTGAGGAGGTAGGAAATTGCAATTTTATTTTGGGATGGGAGAAAATTTGCAAAAATGAATTAATTAATTTTTTTGTGAATTTTTTAAGGTACAGCAACTGTAATCGTGTATTTTTGCGCGTTTATCGACAAAATTGGGGTGCTTGGCACTAAAGTTAAGCTAAGACTCTCAACCTAGTCATAAAACTCATGCTTTGCCTTCAATGATCCATACGCATCTCATCTACAAGTCAAAACCACTAAGACAATATTCTAAACACCTCATAAGCTCTACCAGCATTACCAGTCAATTCTCCTTCATCTTCTATTTATTCAATACCCAAAAAAAGTAAGTAGATTATTGATTATTAATTCCAAAATCAGCTTCCACAAATCTAACACAGAAAAAATAAAAGTAAACAATTTAGTGGTAAAATTAAAAGAATTTCCAGTTTAGAGACAAAGACGCATGCATGTGTACCATATAAATCGTATGTATGTGCATGCATGCAGTCCAACAGATGACTATTGATTAATGATCATCCGAATGAGAGAAACCCCCGAGAAACAGAGACATAGGAGGAATATGAGGAACCAAGTGAATGGGATTGGGAGTTGTGCGGGGGTGAGGTGAGGGTTTTGGTCTTTTTCACATTTTTAGGAGCTAAATTGTATAAGAAATTTTGAGATGTTCAGCTACTATGAAACCTAGGATGACGTAACTTACAAACAATCCCCATCAAAATAAATCAAACATCTCAAATGCGAATAAATTTTTATATAGAAAAAAAAAATATTTTTCCTGGCGATTGTGCAACTGAAAAATAAACAATAGGCGAAAAAAGTTCACAGAAGGAAGTCAAAGAGAGAGAAAAATGTCACTAAAATCGAGATTTGAAATCATGCAATGCAGCTGTTAATCTCTGTAGAGGGTTATAAATTTTAAAAGGAAATCAATCGACCCAAAAAAAAACTATACGTACACATGCGAACACACAAAAGAGCAAATAAAAGGGATTCCAAAGTGTGCCTGTGTGTGTAGATTATTTGCTCATGTCACACAAACTGGGATTTAACATTTAATCCATCAAGAACGTATTGACCTCCGGCATTATCCGTAATGGTTTCCATCATAGAAATTATGATAGAAATCTGTCAATCATTCCAACCATTTTGTCATATTTTTGTTCTGTTCCTCTTTAACCTTCTTCTTCTTCTTCGCTGTTGCTTATTTGCTTATTCATGGTTTTTTATACTCCATGTGCATGACTGAGCACTTCTATTTTTGAGGTAAAAAATGAAAAAAAAAAAACTTACAAAAGAAATTTCTGTGTGAGGAAATGATGAGCTTCGTAGGTTGCATTTTTTTTTGTCTAGAAAAAAAAGATATTTTTTTTAAAGTATCCAACTGCTTGTAGCGAATTCGCATGATGTGTCGATGATTGAAGGTTTGATCCCTTGGTTTTAAGCTTTAATTTCTTTTCTTTCATGTTTTTATTCTTTTGATTTTTTCTTTTCATTGAACTTTTTGACTTACAAAATATTTTGATTTAGTACAAATTTTTACTTATGGCTATATGTACAATTATTATAGTTATGCACAGGTAGAAAAGGTTGGATTTCTAGCGGTTTGGAAGTTTAGTCAGATTTTAATTTGATTAAATTTAAAAAATTGTTTTGAGAATTTAAAATTTAAATTGAATTGAGATTAAGTTTTTTTGTAATTTTTGAAATTATTTTACAATTTTTAAAATTATCTTTCGATTTTTAAAATTATTTTACAATTTTTAAATATTCAATAAATTTTTTAAATTATCAAATTTCAATATTAAATTAACAATTTAAATTCATCGCAAAATTTAAGTTTCAGAAAATTTTTAAAAAATTAAAAAATATTCTTTAAAAATCACAAAAAAAATCTCCAAATTCAATTACAATTAAAATCGCATCAGTTCTTAATTCAACCATTTAAATTCCAAAATCTAACAAAACCCATCCGCTAGATCACATAATTATCATTTCTAAATTAGGAAGCTATTAAAGCTATTTACATCATTTGATCCACAAATTATTTTATAATATCATTATTTTTATATACTAATATATACAGTCTTCTCGTTTTATACACAAAAATTATTCTTTTTTTCAGACTCTCTTATAATTTGTTAAATTATTCACATTAAAGGCAGTAGCAAATAGTAAATTATATAGCTGGGTTAATTTTTCCTTTGTTTTAATATTAAATGTGTATTTTTTTCATGTCTCATAGGTAAATTGGAGGTGATTAAGGGGGGAAATTGAGTAAGTCCGGTATGTTGGGTGTGCTTAGGTGGGGTTTGGACTAAGTTTGTTTGGAATTTAAATTCAAATTATTGATAACTGCCTCTAAAAGGCCTTAGGACATGATTGTATCCTTAATCTTCTTCCACTTAGATATTATCTCATGATTCTATCCAAAACCCCTCAAACTTAAGTCAACCAAGCCACAAAAATTCTCAAAAATTCAATTAACCTCATCAACTTCATTCCCAAGCACACATTAAAGCTACATCACGGATTAACCCAATTTTAACTCGGAAACACCCCCGCGCTTATTTAAATAAACTCATTTTTCTGTCACATTTGATTGACTATGTCTTATAAACCTAAATAATTTTTTTTTTCATAGAAATATCTTCGACTCCTTCCCATTAAAATGCGTTACTCAATTCCCCATTATTGTCTATCATGTTATTACCTATCTTATGTACATCAGCCCACTAATTCAAATGGAACGGAACTCAGGCTTCTTCTTTTTTTCCTTTTTCTTTCCTTTTTTTGTGTCGTCTTCTTCTAATAGTAATGTAAAATTATCATACAAACGACGATAATTCAAAATGCGTTTGCTGCTGCTCATGATTGATATTCATCAAGTCATTTAACGTATTATTGCTATTCGCTACCATCATTCCATTATTATAATCGTGATGTGGAGGCATATTTGACTGTTGATAAGTTGGATAATTTTGAGTGATTTGTTGCTCGTCCGTGTACAATAAATCGACTGTTGTAAGCGAGCTATCTTTTTTAAATTTCATTCGGCGATTTTGGAACCTATAATGAATTGAATGATGAAATAAAAGAAACAGAAAAAGAAGTAGATCGTGAGTACAAATTACTATCCAAAAAAATTTGATGTTCCTGCAATTACTTACCAAATTTTTATTTGCCGTTCACTTAATTGTAGTGTGTGTGAAATTTCAATTCGCTTCCTGCGAGTCAAATACTTATTGAGATTGAATTCCTTCTCTAATTCAAGTGTTTGGTATCTTGTGTAGGTTTGGCGTGTTCGCTTCGAGCCCTTGAGATTTTCTGTGAAATAAAAGATGTGAGGATCTTGTGTTATTTTCGATTTTTTATGTGTAATTGACTTGGGGGATTTAATAGGCTTCTTCAGAGATGTGGATCTTGGATTTGGGAGGGATGCACGAATTTTTACATGCTAAGTTAAGTGATTTTAGGGTTCTTGAGCTTAATTGAGATACATGTGAGTTAAATTGACTAAAACTTAGCTAGATTGAGCTAAATTGAGCTAGGTTAAGCAAAATTTGAGCTAGTTCAAGTCGAACTACCCCAAACTAAGTTAAATTAGATCTTAACTTACTCAATAAATCTTCAAAAAAATCAAAAACTCCACCCTTTCCCAAAAAATTCTATATTCATCATCCTTACCTTCATTTTGATCATTCCATATCCCACTCGAATTTGATGTGTCATCATGATTATTACTCTTATTGTGATGATCCTTTGGAGATGATGGCGGCGTTGTCATGAAGCTATTATTCATTGGACTGTTCACTTTAACATCCTCATGAATAGACAATTCATATCCTTCCTTATTATAATTGCATAAATTAATCGATTGTTCCTCAGCGACAGTCACAACTGATGGCACTTGATAATGTTCCGATGTTGAGCTTGCTGGCGAAATGCTACCAGCACCATGATGATTTTGTGTATAAAAGTATGGCGATTTAACATATTTTGCACGTTTTACTGGTCTCGATAATAAGGCTCGTAACGCTGGCGAGTCCTCAGCTGCCGTTGAATTATCGATTATTTTCCTTTTACGCGATTCTCCATTTATTAATTGACTACTTGCTGCATAATGTTCATTTGTTGTTTCATTATTATTAGTTTTTTGTTTTTCATTCTGTTGATATTGCTGTTGATGCGCATGATGACCATAATATAAATCATTTTTCCCATCCACATATTGATTGCCATTTAAATTTGGCTGATTTTCATTTGCCATTGTACGTGATGTGTCTGGATGGGTTGGTTTTGCTAAACTACCACTATTATTACTGTTGTGTACCTGAGAATAATTATTTAGCATGTTTAGTTGATGATTATAATGCAATTGGGATTGTTCTTGATGTTGATGCTGCTGTTGGACTTGATTATAATACGAATTCCATTGATCATTGTAATTATTTGGTGGTAAATTATAATTATAATTATTGTAAGCATCATTTGCGCTATTTAGATTTTTGCAATCATAATGTCCGGTTGGATAAGCATAAAAATTTTGCTGTTGGCTGTGAGCTTGATGATGATGGTAATGGTGATATGCTGTAATGTGGCTATTGCCATTGTTGATGTTGGTATTATTATTATAATAGTCTGAATATTGAGTCGCTGCCATTATTTCTGCCGTTTTTTTTTTGCTGTCTTTAACTATCACTAAACTTGAAAATATTTATCATTCAACAAATTACACTCTAGACATGAATCACCACTTAGCAGTCAACTAGATGCATAATCGTGTGATGAATTATTTCCACTTTTTAATGTTCTTTCACTTTAATTTAATTTTTCACAATTTTTTTTTCAAACTTTAAAATTTTCTCGCAATTTTAGAAATTATTTTTGTTCTCTAAACTATGATGTGATCCTCACAACGAACGGATAATGAATGACTAAACGACTCATCTGACACGAAACTAAAAAAAGGTCCTGAAAAAAAGTCATCGACTCTCTATCTATTGTTATCCTTCGCAACAAATACACATAAAGGAGGTCATAAAGTTATTTATGTTCATATTTGCAACAAAATAGGATCTATTTGCAGAAGCAGTGTAAGTGAGTGTATGTGTAAATATGAGGCACACGACTCGAAAGTGGTAAGGAAAGAGTCAGATGAGGGGTTGTGTAAGGAACGCAGTTTTTATGGGAAGAAGGGGATTTATAGAGGGTCAGGTAATGGGATGTTAGGAAGGAATTGGGTTTATTGAAGTTTGTAGAGTTAATTGGTGTTTATAGGGTCATAAAGGCACTTTGCATTCATTTTAAAGAGACATATTAAGGGTTCAAGCCAAATCAAGTCAAAAGAAACCCTTGTTTAGCTAGGTCAAAGAAAGGCACCACAGCGTATCCGTCTCCATAAATCGATCCTTTCACCCACTTAAGTCAGTCTACAAACCCATTCAAGTAACCACTACAGCAGCAAATCAGCTCTAGGACAAACTGACAACCCAAAAAGCACCATCCATTTCCAGAAAAATCGTACCTCAACACAGTAAGTTATATACCCAAAAAAATGCAGTAAGTTAACAACAAAAGAAATGAATAAAATCTCAACAATGTGTTGCACGATGAATCAAAGATTATTGAATAAAATTCAGTAGTAAATTCACCAATCTAGCAATTCAAAATTTGGCACATGGTTTGAGAGACAAAAATTAAATAAATAGTTATAAGAGGGTAGCGTTACTCTCTCTACTTTCCGTTCGAACCAGAAGTTAATAATTTATTACCCAAAAAATATTCATTTACAACCCTAAAAAATTCTCTGTGTCTAAAAAATGCAACAATTTTTTATTGGCAAATATTTAAATGGCATTAAATGGATGGAAAAAAAATAATTTTAAATAAATTTTCGCGAATTTAAGTAAAAGTTGGTTAAAAAATCACGACAGATGACAGTTGAAAATGCACCCATAATTTCCAATGTTACTTTTTCCCACCCTAAATTAGATGATGATGATCAATACGGCTTGTTCCTTTCGCTGCCATTCGACACATGCACCGAATATTTCTTTTATAAATATTTCCGACACTATAGGCTCACTGCTGCTCTTTTGATAAAAATGTTTTATGTAATTTTTCCTGAATAGAAAATTCTTTTCACAAAAGCAGCTAGCGAGCGAGAACGATTGTACAATGGTGAGGGCAGGATATCAGTGCGAAAAGGGGATGGAGTCGATTAAACAAATAGTTTCAATTCAATCATGAGGCTGACGTATCTAGCAGTGCAAATATATCAAATCCAGCAGAGTTTTGTGAATCTTTTCCCAATAATACTTTTTTTTTCTGAAGCACGGCTTGAGTCTGAAATGGATAATTTATGGCGATCGAATGAGAGACGAATGTACGATGGAAGTCAACAATGTAACGAAAAATATAATGCTTGATATAAAAAGGAGGAGGAATACGAGTAAATTTTATGGAATTAGTGCAGAGGAGAGAATGAATTCCAGGTGGAGGCACTTGCGTGTATTGATGTTGTTAAGAATTTTATGAGCCATGTCTGAGTCTTTTGTGATTGAAATGTTTGAATTTTTGGAAATTAAGAGATTTGTTTTAAATCATTTTGAGGATTTTTGATGTGTTTTGAGGGTTAGAGACTAGAAAAATTGGATTATTGATGGATATTTTAATTGCAGATGATCATCTAAGGTCATTTAAAAACAGTGGTCTATTATCTCTTGATGATATTCATCAAATGTTGTTGCATATCGCTAAAAGACATACAGAAGCAGCCCTAAGTTACCTTTCTCACTTACTCACAGTGATGAGCAAAAGACAGTTCACTAAAATGCGAGTCATGCTCTGATTATAGTTTGACAAACAATTAAGAGGTTAGCATATCTCAAGTGGGAATCGAACCCGAGCTCTATTAGTAAAAACCTTATTTTTCTACTATTAAGCTTAAGGGTTAATTCAAAGCTTGCCAAACTAGTAATTTAATCAGTTGCTAACTTGAACTGAACAGAATCTTTGTTTCTTAACTTGTGGCAATCAACTTCAACATATTTGTTGCTACAACTTTATAATGATATTCACTGACCACCCCATGGACATATACTCACGATTCTCCACACCAAAATTACTTCCCAACCTTAATTTAAACAATACCAAAAAAGAAACTTATAAATTCATTCATATTATTAAATTAAATTTCAATAATAACAATATAAGTTGCAGCTTCCTGAAGTGTTTATTAAGGAGAGCAGTTGCACCCAAATATTCAGAAGAAAATTATAAAATTAAATAAAATTATAAAGAGCAAAAAAAAAATGTTAATAATTATTTATTAAAATTCAACACTCCCATTACCGTTCATGTCGAGGTAGGGGAGGCATTTTATGTAAATTTTAATTTTCACATACATGCAGCCATTACAGGCCTTTACACCTAACCGAGTATTATTTCATTAAATTTGATTTCTATTTTAAATATTTTTTGTGAATATCCCGTGAAAGGTCAAACTTTCATTCAGTGTATTGGACGTGCTACTTTAGCAGCTAGTACCACCCAGTAAAATATAAAAAGAATTTCAAGGACAACACCGAAAATGACTTAATTTCCATTTATGCACCATTCGCAGAAGAAATAAGTGAGAACAAATCAACTGTATCTAATTAATGACCTTCCATCTACGACTCTATATGCTCACATCATTTCTGTAAATTAGCAGGCATAATTTGCTTCTTATTTATGTCTTTATAGCATAAAAGAATGGAAAGAATAATACAAAGTCATTGACAATTAATGTGAAATAACAGAAGAGAGTCACTTCCACACTTCTTTGACATTAATTTCAAGGATTTCTTGCGATCTTTAATAGATATTTGCTTCTTTATAATTTACTATGTTTGCAGTCAGTCGTGCGTTCGTAAAATCTTCGTGCATTGAGCTTTCTCACGAAGCCACACTTTTCAACTTCTGCGAAGAGACATGCATTAAATAAAAAAGAACTGACTGAAGCAGTGCAATATAATATTTTATGACATTCCTATGCATGTACGAGGATCCTTCTCGTGTATGCGTCAATAAAAAAATAGACATCATAAAAAATATTTATTTATTTTTCTTCTGTTCTGCTCCTTCTGATGATTTTTGCTGCCTTCGTAGACTTCTTTTTTTGCTGTTTATGCATTTGAAGGTCATATTTACAGATTAACACACCATAATTTTGTTTAAATATTTTGACCGATATTTTTCTTTTTAAATTGGTCACACTTTTTTTTCTTGCTGTATGCTTACTTATGAAGCGTTTGCTCTTTACTTTAAATCCTTCAAATAGACCATTAGCTGTAGTTATTATAGTCTCTCTATGTATTCGTCTTTGTTTGCTTAGTTTTAGCTTGTTTTGAGGGTTTTTATGAATTTGAGTCAGTCTGTCTATTTTACTATATGTTGAGGACCAGTTGATTAATATTCACATGCCTAGTGAAGAAGTGGATCGAATAACTTAGCCCAAATAATTTAAGAATAAGCCTTGAACCATCAAGCCTTTACCCTCCCTCGAAAAGATGTACTTCTAGCTTAAATAGAGATAAAAAAAATAACATGAAGTTGCAAATGTGTTTGGAGCCTTTAATTAAGTATCCGAGGCCGAATCAATAACCTGGCCTCTAGCTGCTAATGTAGAGCTCTAATTCTCGCAAATTCTAAGACTGAAGTCATCATACAGATCCTCTAAGCCAAGAATCATTTCAATTTAAGCTTAAAGTCTGCAAATAGACATGAAATTGGTATAAAAATGAAATAATAACAAACTAGAAACAGGATTTGAACCCACGTCTTAAGAATCATTAACTTCTTAATACCTAATATGAAACAAATATTAATACCATTCAGCCATTGCACCACCAACCTTTCTATAGACAGTATCAGTACATAAACATGACATAGACTGAATTTAAACTCAATTTTGAGTCATTTTAGTGAGTCTTTAAATAAATTCTTTATTCAGACTCAATTTTCTGTAAAATGCGCCTTAGCCTATCCTCACAAAAACTACAAATGCCTTCCATACTCTCCATCTTTACCTTCTCCTCTTTCCTCTTTCTTCTCTTTCTCTTAAGTCTCATGCCGTCAAGCATAAACGATTTTTGTCCTTTTTATATAGTTTCTCAGTGGAAGCTTCAAAGGTGCTTGCATGTTGTGCACTTTAATTATTTTATATTTAGTAATTTGATGATTACTCTCTTTTAGTCAGATGAAGCGTGAAGGTTAAGTCTTTACTTTATTCTTACTGGATGTATTTTAAGTGACTTTTGTTGGATGTTTGAAGGAATGTCTAATGAAGATACATGCGAATGTTGAGGAGTAAGTGGCATGAGACATGATATAAGTAAGCATGTATGTTTACATGCTGGATATAAAATTAAGAATAATTTTTGTCATGAGAATTTGTGATTTTTTAAGGAAGCATGTTTGAATATTTTTTTTATGATTGCAAAACTGGAAAAATTTTCCGTAATTTTTTATTTTACTCAACACGACAAGACATGAAGGCAAAAGCATAAGAAAGTCCCGATTTTTATAGCTGTAACTGCCTCACATAAAAATTTTCTCTTTCCTTTCTACTTTTTCTCAAAATATTTATCATGTTTACAATTTTAACAATAATATTTT